ATTTTTTCTAGTTGAAAGTATTGCTTCAGCAGTTGAAAAATTCTTCTTAAATATATAAAATAGTGTAAATAATAGTGTCTTATTGAAGGTAATGGTCAATGCAGGACAACTGTTTCAGTGGAAGGGAGGTCAATTATGGTTAAGTAAGGATAGATAATGACAGAATGTATTTTGCTGAAATTTTTATTATTTCATGTGAAGTTTTAATTGTCTATTGTTGGATTTTTAGGTTTTTAAGTTTTTCTTTGTGGAGATATTTTAGAAACGAAAGCAGAGTAGCACATTTTCTGTATTTTTATTGTATTTCTTTGTAAAATATACTTAGTAATTCTAAACTTTTAACATATACTATTTTTAATGTAAGCTAAAGCCAGCATCCAAAGATATAAAGAGGTTTTTTTGTATAAAACAGTGCTCATTAAATGTTTATTGAAAAGGATCTTTAATGGAATTCCTTGCTAAACTTTATTTTGTTGGCGGATATTCTTTATTTCAGAACTTTTTAACCTTGCATGTTTTTGCTATTTGTGTAAAATCATATGTGAATAACAGATTTTATTGCACTAGATATCAGTTTAGTTCATAAAAATTTCTTTTATTTTACTATGGAGTCTTTTAATAATTTTATTATTTTTAATTTTTCATATGATTGGTGTGTTATGCATAGTGGTGGGATTTGTTGTTATACAGTCATACATGTATAGCTATGAATTTTCTCAAAACAAGTAATTCATGCTTCAGTAACAGCTTAGTGTTTCTGTTGGTAAGTGACATTAGAAATGCTTGAACTCCTTTGAAAAATGCAAGGAAATTGTCTCCTTGCACTTAAACAGTAATAATCATAATAGGAATTTAGATTATAATTATCCTCTTGGAAGCAACTGTGCTTTCCCTTGTTTGATTCTGTGCTGACTCTGCTGTTTTCTTAAAATATTGTTATGAGTGCAATCTATTTGTTTAAACGTTCTTGGCATTTTGTATCATCTTACTCTTTAGCATCTGCATAGGTAGAAGGAATTCAGGAAAGCAATTCTAAGGAGAAACTGATGTAGTTACTTCACAGTTACGAACTTAATAGACTCAGAGATAGAAATATACCACTATGTGAGGTATGCAAGTTTGTGCACACATTATGGGAACTTAGGCTTTATATCCATGATCTTTTTTTCTTTTTTTGCAATTTATGAAGGAAATTCCATGGACTGTGACCTGGAATTTAATAACTAACTTTACATAAAAATTAAGATTTCAATGTATTCTTCTCTCCTAACTTTGGATGTTTTAAATCTTTAGGCTGTATATCTCTTGGGATTTCTTGTTAATAATAATAAAAAAAAAATGTTTGTTTTCTTTATAGGTTTAAGGGTGATTGAAATACTGGAGTATTAACTGAAGATGCCTGGTGATATTTAGCATAGATTGCCTTGTGGGAGAAATAAGGTGGATTTAATGATTTGGATAGAAGTCAACAGCAATTAAAAGTAGCAATTAAAAATATAATGTGAGTCTGGTCATGGCTCAGATAATCTAAGCATGTTTTTGTTTTAGGCAAGTAACATGTCGCGTTATGCTGTGTCACCTTTTTGCAGAGTGTGTAGATATTCTAGACGTAATTTTTTACCTTTATTATTTTCAAGGTCAGATAATCATCAAATGGTAACTTCAAGATTGTGAAATATCATTAGATTATTTAAAAATGAAAGATCAGTTCTTCAGTACTCTCTACTGCCTGTAGGAATTACAATGTATTTTTATTTTGCCTTGGAAAATGGTGTCTTTAGTTTTTCTGCAACAAATGAGATAGAATAGTGAGGAAACATAACTGAATAATTCTTATATCAGAACTGAGATGAAAGGCAGGCAGGAACAAAGGAATCAGGTTAAGATGGGGGGGGGGGCAATGGCTAGTATTCTGTTTATTATTTGCCTAGCAAAGGAAAGAATGTTTGGCTTTAGAGAAATATAAATGTTAAAGGAAATAAGTATGTGTGAAGACATACTACCTTTTATACTTTAAGAGTACATTTAATAAGGAATATGACAAATATAATCTGTGTACTTTTTTTCCTATCCTGCATTTGGTATTTTAGGGTAAAATTTACTAAGGGATTAAAAAGATTTAAAATTATGTTGGATAAATATTCTTCTAATTTTTGTGATGCCAGGCAGACATCCTTATCTCACTAATGTGTTTTGATAGCACAGGGGATAAAGCTTTCTAAGAATTTTCATCTTCATGGCTAATGGACTTTGAGATTTACAGATTTGTGTGTCCTTCCCCTCGCTCCTTCTATCTCCCACTTCCTTTGAAGTTAGGTAAAATGAACACAGGAAGACCTGTGCTGAAAAGGAACATTTCTGATTCTTGTAACTATTTTCTTCCCTTGTTTTCCTTTCTTTCACATCCATATTTTGAGAGCAACATAATGAATATAATAAAAGAGTGGAAATTGCATTGAAAACCAGTTCTCTCAATTAGCAGGCCTATTTCCTATGTCGTGAATTTCAAATATTTCTTTCTAAGTAAGCATTTGTTGCAGAATATTTTTGTGTGTATGAATAACTTATTTTCTTCTTTCCTATTTTAATCCTTAGTCGGTGTACAACTTCCATTTTATCATAACTTTGTTCATTCATCAGGGCAGGCATTTTCCAAAGAACTGATGATGTATTGATGATTTAGTTTAAAGGAGACATGCCCCAGTCAGGTTCATACTAGTGGACATCACAAGGAGATGTTGGCATGTACTAATAGACCTCCTCCTACTTCCTTGAAGGTTTGGCGCTCAAGCTTATTCATTTTCTTCCTACTCCTCCTACTGTCATTGTCTGTGACAGCTTCACTCTCCTAGATGATCCATCCAACATTTTACTTTCTCATTTACTTGACTTTCTCACTCCCAGTGATCTTTGTTTCTCCATCCAATCTCAGATACCACTACCTGAGAGAGTAAAATACTTACCTCTAAGTATGATGTATAGACCTCCTTTCCTGAGCACTCTACACTATTGGAAATAATAACCCATTTATTCCACAGTTATTTCATGTCTGTCACTTCCTTATAATACCCTCTCTTCCCTTCTTTTACCCACAGTCCTTCAATACAAACCATCAGTTCATTTGCCTCTCTGTTCATATGAACTCTGTCCTTGTTTGCTCACCTCTTTTGCACTGTGCACCTTAGTACAGTGAGCACCTATAGTTCTAATTATTTTTAGCTAAGTTGCTTAGGCTGTCCTTGAACTTTCTATACTCCTGCCTTGGCTTGCTCAATAGCTGGGAAAACAGACTGTACCACTGCACCTGCCTTTTTGCCATTTTGAATATTTTCTTTTTAAAATATTTTTTTTAGTTGTAGATGGACACAATATCTTTATTTATTTATTTTTTTTCATGTGGTTCTGAGGATTGAACCCAGTGCCTCACTCACATGTGTGAGGCAGGCACTCTACCACTGAGCCACAGCCCCAGCTTGAATACTTTTGAGATATTGGCATAGAGTTTTTTCTTTAACAAATTACTACTTTGATATTGACATGAATACAAAGTAGCCTGTCTTCCTAGTGCTAATTTGTTTTGCTCTGTTGGTTATGTTTTCTTAAGTAATATAGCAAATTAATAAAACAAGAAGGTGATTTAAAAGACACCTAATTTCGTATCATTTCAAAAAACCTGCTTTGGAACATACACATTTCCTTGTGTTGCCCTTCGATGTCTATTGTGTTATTTATATAGGTATAATTTAGGACTTTATTGATACTTTGACAGCCTCATCATTTCCCAAACGGGTTATAAACATATCTCTAAATAGGCCTTTTGAGCTCAGAGTAAAAGTCCAAGTTCTTTTGGTGACTTGTAAGGTTTACAGGATCCTGCAGCACAACCTGCCTGGTTGACTCATTTATATTCTTCAGCCCTTTATCCAAACACTCAAGTTGGAGACCTTTGATTTATCTCTGTGAGGATCTCATTGATTAACCTATATAAATTGTGTGTCTTATAGTATGCTCATTTCTTTTTCTTGGTTTTATTTTTCTCTATAATAGTTATTTACAGTGTACTTTAATTATTTATTGTGTACCTATTCCCATTAGAATAAAGGTTCCCCATGGGAAGAATTTTTATCTCTTGTTCACTGCTCTATTCTCAGCAATTTGAACAGTGTGTGGTATTTAGTAGCCACTTAATGTTTGCCAGATAATGAGTTAACTCTGCCTCTTCCAATCCATGTATTTCACACTGCACTAGATCTTCAAAAATTCTTCTGGGGAGGCTAAATGTAGAGTGGTGCTCTACCACTGCATGACCTGGCCTTTACATCTTCTGTTGTATGTTGCTGTGTCTCACTCTGGGCTGAGTTCCTTTCTAATTCTTTGATTTTCTAATCTCTTATTTCCCTTTTCCATCTGACTCGGGCTTTCCTGATCCACTCTGTCAAGGTAGGTGTTCTTACTTTGAGTCTCTTGGTTCTGTTACAGAAATTAGACTGCATTGAAAATTATTATTTTCTTGCCGTGTTTCTCCTTTCCCATATAGTTTGGTAATCCCTGTGTCAACATTACCTAGAACTAGACTCTGAACTGAATAGTAACTAAATGAATCAAAGACTAAAGCTTTTTTATGTTGCTCACAGTGCTAATTTTCATAGGGTATTTCTTGTGTTGAGTTTTCATATTTATTTTGAATTATACTGAAATAGATTATTTAAATATTTTTTATACACACTTAATAATTATTCATGACATTTTTGCATTTGAAAAATGTATTATTTTAATACATTATAATTATTGTTAACTTGCAAATAACTTGATATGTTACTATCTCTAGTGAATATCATGGATTGAATTTATAGATTTATGGGATGACATAATGAAATTGTTCTCCCAAAATAATAGTAATCATAGCAATTGTGTGCTGCTGTTAATAGGAGAGGTGTGATTAATTTGTTATTTTGTGGATAATCTTTATGCAGCAAAAGATAAATATTTTTGATTTTCAGGGAAGTCTTAAAAGCAGTCAACAGATTTCACCTCAGGAATTCATCTATGAACTCAAAATGGGTTCTGAGGATGAGAGACTTGTGACATACTTGGAGTCCCTCCGGGTGTCTTTGACCAGCAATCCTGTGAGGTAAGTCATCTATCTCAACATTTTCAGGGCATGTTTGCAAATTAAATACAAATGAAATAATAATGATATCTGTTTTATACTTTTCTCATGATGCTTTCAAATAGATAGCTGGTATACCTCAACAGTTTCTCAAAGTCAAAGTTGAATACATAGTATTTATAAGCACAAAGAAATACTCTCAGTAGTACTTTCTGTATTAATTATTGAGTAATATATAGCTCATGGAATTAATTTGTTTTCATAGATTTTTTAAAATGTGAAGATTTTCTCTTAAGAGAACAGTTATAGTCAGAAGTTGTTAGTTTAGTGTGACTGAATTTCACCCTGAATTTTGGTATTGTATAACATACTTGCTGATTCTTGTTTGACCCAGCCCCTCCCCCCAAAAAATCACTAATTAATTTTTTTCCTTTGTTTGAAATGGTGTCTTTGTAGATCCATAGTTTAGTATTGCTATATTTAGCAAATAAAAATGTAGGACACATGGTAAATTTGAATTTCAGACATACCAAAAGATTTATTTATGTGAATCCCAATTTAATTTGAGTGTCTTATATTTACTTTAGCAGTACTACATAGGTATTTCTACAACTTTTATACTTTTGGAGTGGGGCTAATTTTTGGTGTCTTTGAGAAATAATTGTTTAGAAAATAAAAAAAAATCCATTAAATTTTGATAAACTGGGCATATTTAAAATTGCCAGATTATTAACTGATAGAAGACAGATTTTTAAAAAAGTGAAACATAGCATACCTGATGTGTATCATTCATGTTAACTTAAATGGCTGTAAGGAGAGATAGCAATCTGTATAGAGGCTGTATGCTAATGCTGAATTACTTTGGTGACTGATCCAGAGCATTCTTGAAAAATCTAAGCAGAAGTTGTTATGAAGTGTTCAAGCAGTTAGATAATTTCTGAGCCTCAAGGGTCTGAGGCAGATCAATCACTGCATATGAATATGTGCTGTATTTTCATGAATACATAGTCTGAAGTCTTGAATGGCATGCTATAATTGAAGGTTAATGATGTAGAAAATATATTCTAATAAGTACTTTTTTCGTCATTTCCTATGTTTAGATATATTGTAAGAAAGGCCTTGACACAAGCATTTAAAACAAAAAGACCATCTCTGGGGTTTAATTAATAGGAGTATGAAGAATAAACAATCTTTATTTTAGTCTTTACTTGTCCACATTTTATTACCTCCAAACTGATCTTCAGACTTTCAACTAATGGGCACGAAACTAGGACCTTCATATGTTTTAGTTACTTTTCTTTACCAGGCAGTGTTTAGCATGTAGTGATTGCTCAATGAGGCTTTAATTTTGATCTTCTTTAGTCTTAAGGTGGCTAGTGTTAGGAGCTGTGGTTGAATTAGAGAATTTAACAGGTATATTTGTAAGTGACGTGTTTTTGTTTCCAGCTTAATCTATACCTATAAAATGAATTAATTCAAAAAATATTTAATGGGGCTGGGGATGTGGCTCAAGCGGTAGCGCGCTCGCCTGGCATGCGTGCGGCCCGGGTTCGATCCTCAGCACCACATACAAACAAAGATGTTGTGTTCGCCGAAAACTAAAAAATAAATATTAAAATTCTCTCTCTCTCTCTCTCTCTCTCTTTAAAAAAAAAAAAATATTTATTGAACACCCACTGTTTTCCAAGTATCATGTTAGATCCGTGGGGCTTGAGTAAAAAAAAGCAAATCCAATCCCTGTTTCTATGGAATTTAAATGTAGAAAAGAGGAATTTTGGGATCAACTAGGGAGGCAGCTCTCTCTATTTCTGTTTATGTGTTAGCCATGGGGCACTGGAGATAGCACTGGAGATATAGTTTCTCCCTATAATTAGAAGTAGTGCCCCTCCCCTCACTACTATTACCATTCATTCTTCCCCTCTCCTTTTTGTGATGATATGATAACAAAAGAAAACAATATTGAAAGATTTAATGTATACATATTAAAATGGATTGGATTATTTATTGTGATTTTTATCTAATAACAACTAGTAAATTTTGCTGTATGTTCTTATTTTTAAAAATATGATATAAGCAAAATGTTGTGAAAATATTTCCCCAAGGATGGACAGTTCTAGAATATATTACTTGAAATTCACCAGGTTTTCTATGAGGTTCTTTAAAATTAAAAAATGGAAAATTGTATTGTTGGAGAATTTTTTTTCTGAAATTGTGCCCCTTAACATGTAGAGAAAAAAATTGGCAAGATACTTGAGTAGTTCTTCTAGTGTTTCAGTTAGAGAAATTAAAACTTGGAAGTTCTTGAAAATCCTGATGATTACCATATGCCTGTTAATGGAAGTCAATATTTTGGGCTGTCTTTGAATTTGTTATTCCTTTCATTTTAATTTAAGTTTCATTATATATGTATTACTTATTAATATATCATGTGGATTTATATCCTTTTGTCTTAGTGTGAGTAGAATTATCTTTGACTAAGCTTCTGAGACTTTCTTCTTGATATTTTATATATTTACCAATATTAATGTGCCTAGCTGTTTACCCTCATTAAAATTGCTCTTTATACCTTTTCCTAAATATTAGGAATATCTGTTGTAAATATTATAGGAATAAGTTTTTTAAGCCTGTCTAATAATCTTTGTTTTTATTTGGTAGTTTCATCTTTTTGTAGCTATAGTAAACAATATTGAAATTGATATCTGATATTTCATTTTGAATTTTCAGTTTGATTTTTTCAAGTTCGTCTCCCCCAGTCTTCCTGTTTCTGCTCCTTCTCCTCTTCCTTCTTTCATTCCGATATTCTTACTTCCCTTCTGGCTTACCTTTTTTGGCATACATTTTAAATTTAATTTCATTTTCTCTCATTTACTGATTTAGAAGACAAAAAGTCCTTTCTGATCTTATAATAGCAATGGGATTTAATATGCATATACTTAAAATGAATGAAATTAATCAATAATTTCTTCTTTTGAACCAAAGAATAGTTTCATATTGATCCTTCTTCTTTGATTAATATGCTGGTTTTAAGTAACATTTTAATTGTATTTTTTTATAAAGTGGAATATTATTGAGTTACACTACAAATTTGTATGTGTACAAAGTGTACACACAATCTCATCATTTTCTGATTTCTGTACTTTTCTTCACTGATTATTTATGCTTCAAGTGTATTATTACTATCTCTTAGGATCTGTTGCTTAAATTCTGTTCTTCATCTGAAATTATCTTTGTCATTACTTTTGAAGGCAAGCCTTCTCTGATTTATTACATTGAAGGTTTTTAGTTATCTTTTCTTAGCACGTTGAAGGTAAAATTTTTCTCATCTTTTCATTGCTGTTTATGAGAGCTTGGCCGTTTATCTAAAACTCTTTGCAGTTAATCTGTCCTCTTTCTCTGCCTTTTTAAATGATATTTTCTGTCTTTGGTGTTTTCAAGTTTCTTTTATGTGATAGATGGTATTTCTTATTTATCCTGCTAGACATTTTATTTTATTTTGCTTCTTGAATATGATTAGTGTCTTGTGCAAATTCTGTGCTAACCAACAAGGGCACACAAATCAATGAAAGATAGTGAAACTCTGTTCCATGACAAAACAAGAAAGGAGATTTCAATCTTGAGCCCAATGGATGGGACATATGTGACGTGCAGTAGAATTGAAATAATATGAATTTTCTTCTGCGTTCCTTTCTTCTCTTCCACCACAGTCTCTGGAGACTTAGCTCCTCCAATGCTGAGGGAAGGCTGATGAAGGTCATGTTTGCTTGAGCAGGAAATGCGCTCTTGGCTTGGAGTGCGCTCTATTTTTTTCTCTCTTGCATGCTTTCTTTTGCCTTTCCCCCATAGGATTCTGATTGGTACCTGGAGAATTCTTGAATTTTAGAGTTCTCTTTCACTTTTTCATCTTTTTAATTCTCTCTGGTGCACCCTGGGCATTTTTCTCAGGACTATTTTCCCATTTACTAAAGCTCTCTTCAGGTACGTGCAGTATCCTAGTGGCTCATGTGTTTTGGTTTCCTGATGTTCTTCCATGGGCTCTGTATGTGATCAGCCTGATTCATCTCATCTAATGTTAGACTGTGAAATAAATGGCTGCTTTTTAAAGAAAATATTTATTTTTTATTTGTAGTTGGACACAATACCTTTATTTTATTTATTTTTATGTGTTGAGATTCAAACCCTGGGCTTCACACATGCTAGGCGAGCACTCTACTGCTGAGCCACAACCCCAGCCCCCAAATGGCTGCTTTTAAATATGTAATTTATTCAAAAAGTTAATTCCCAGAATATAAACTTCTTAATTTTATTTTAAAATTCAGTAGATTTTGCAATCAGATCATTAATTTTTGTTTTGTCAGACTGGCTCTGTAATTTAGTGTAACTTTGGTGGATGGAGCTTTGAATGGGATACAAGTGTATGCTGGTTTTGCTCTACAGGTGTGTTAATTGCTTTGTACTCCCCTATAAAACTGTTCATTTAAAGTTTTTTAGTGCGCTTGCTAAGGGTTGGTGAAAATAAATGCTTAAAATATGTAATTACATTCAGCAAAGGTGATATATTATTCTGACTCAGGAATATAAATTGGATCTGGATACTATACCATATTAAAACTGACTTTCTAAATTTAAGTTATGAAATTTTGTTAGTTTTATGTGTTCAGTGATATATTCACACTTTTACAAAGCAGAAAATTAACAAAAATATAGGAAAATTCAATAGTCCAATATAACAGAATATGTATTCTTATAATTTCCCAAAGCACATGAATCAATCAATATAAACCATATTCCATGCCATAAAGTAAAGTTATCAAGTTTAAAAGAATTAAAATCATACTTGGTGTGTTCTTTGACCACAGAGACTCAAACTAGAAGACAGTAAGATAAAAGAAAATCTCCAATGCCTTGGAAAATAAGCACACTTCTAAAAAAAATCTATGGTCATGGAAGTTTGAAGAGAAATAAATAAATTCTGAACCTAGTGAACATATAACCTGATAGCATTAAAAACACAGTAGAAATGA